ATTTTTAAACAATATTCAGATCATTTACTTGATTATCTTAATCAAAGTTATTTTACTCTATTATCTTACAAAGATCAATTAATAAGTCTCGAACGAGCAGAATTATTGAATCAATTCGATGAACAATTAAAAAGATGAATCTTATCATTCGTGCCAGGGACAAAGGAAATAATTTTTATCTTGCCTCAGCTGGGGAATTTGAACAAAAAGCTGAAAATGTTTTTACTGATACAAATGCTTTCATAGAATTATCTTAGGATCCATTCAATGAAATATTGAATAAAGTTATACAATTACTCAATACACTTCGTGGAAAAGAGATCTTATTCATAAATGGCAATATGAACAAATGATGCCTGATCGAACAAAAAGCGAATTAGCTCATTTATATTTTAATCCTAAAACACATAAGGTATATTTTTCAAGTTTTTATTAATTTTTAAAAAAAGTTTTCTTCGATAAATCAACATTTTCAGGATGGTATACCAGTTCGACCAATTGAAAGTACTGTATTCATGCTGCAACTACCAAAATTTCAAAATTCTTAGACAAAATTTTACGACCAATATTTGATGATAAATGCAAGGATACAACTATTATTGATGGTGCTTCTTTAATTACTGAATTTTCAAAATATAACAACAAAGGTCTGTTAAAGCCAGCAACTCATTTTTGTACATTTGACATTCGTAATTTATATACAATGTTGCCACAAGAACAAGCATTGAATAGTCTAATGAAATTTCTATCTGCATATGTTTATAGAAAAGTGAAAGGAATTAGTACTGATACAATAAAAAATTTACCTTCGATTGTACTTAACGAAAATGTTTTGCTTACGGTAAAAAAATTTATAACCAAACAACTGGTGGTACTATGGGTTCATTGTTGACATTAACTTTAGCTAATATTTTTATGTCAAAATGTCAAAATATCAAAAAAAATATTGCTGAAGAACAAACGAAGATAGATAAATTTTATGGCCGATAAGTGATCAAAAATTTTTAAAAATAATTACCATTATTATATAATTTTTTTCTTTATAGATACATTAATGATATTTTTATGACTTGGAATAGATTTGAAGAAGAATTACGAAAATTATTAGATGATGCGAATACATGGCATCGAAATATTAAATTAGACTATAAAATTGGTACTGGTCTTCCATTTCTTGATGTACAACTTAAAAATTATGAAGAAAAATCATTTCTTCATTACACACATGAAAAAAGCTTTAAATTTTTTGAACGTGATATCCATTGTGTCTACGAACATATATTTAAATCTACACCAACAATGTATGCCAAACTTATCGTTGGCAATCGTAATCGAAGACAGGCAACTAATGTACTGATACGCAAACGACAGACACAAACATTTCTACAGAACAACATAACGCAAAATAAGCTTCAAACTAAAAATAAAGAATTCAAAAACAAAATATTCCTTTATTTATAATTCCACCTACAAATATTGTTTCACGATTAAATTTATAGAACAAAAAAAGAAAAAACAAACCAGAATACAACAATATCGAACAGTCACACAAAAAAACAATGGCATAATAGACAAACTCATTCAAAATTTGTTTAATCATACCAACACTGCAACTATAAAATTAACCAATATATTAAAAACACTCAGAGAGACAACTTCTAACTTGTATTAGCTCTTAACTGTACGGCAATCAACAACAAAAAAAATAACAAAAGCTTTCTCCTTCAATATTTTACATTTCCGCTATCTTCATGCCGAAATTTCCTTTTCTTTTCAGATAAATTAACTCACATATAATTAAACCAAAAAAACAACATCCAACCAACGACCAAACAATCTAGATTCTGGTAGTTGTTCACATCCACACTCACACCAACACCATATACTCTATAATGATGAAAGAAAAATTAAACTCAAAATTATTCTTGTTCAGAGAATTCTATAGATAAAAGAGTATACTTTGTTATTGGAAAAATGATATTTTTGTTTCTCTGTCATCGTCATGTTTCAATTGTCTCTGTTTTGTAATAAAAAACAAGAATTAATCATATTATCAGAGATATTTTTTAATTGCATTTGTAAAAGAAATATTTCGTCATCAAAATAAATAATAATCTAGTTCACTTTAATGTTCTTTTTTATCCTGTTTCACTTCATAATCATCTTTATTTATTCATGGATGAAAGATTATGAAATTGAATGAAATATAAAAGAGTAAAATGTCATTCTATGATCGTAACTTACTCTAAAAGTTATTTCTTTTGAAACTATTGTTCTCTTGATATTAAAAGACTTGCATTGTTTGATTTACTCATAATTATAACCAGCAATTATTCTATCATTTACAATGAAATTGAACATCACAAGAAATGGGTGATGTTCGAACGAGTGAAAAACACTGTAACATCTTTCTTTTATGCATCATCTTCATTGATGGATTGATCATTATCAATCAAGCAATTATCTCTCGTTTTTCATAATTTTGTCTAAATCACTCTCTTCTTTTTAGCAGATTTTCTCTCCCTAGTAAATTCATTTTTCTTTCAATGCAAATGTTCAATTTCGTATATCATCAAATTGAAAATAATAAATTCTTTTTTGTTTTTCTATCTTTTTCAATTCACTCTCCGGATGAGGCCATAAAAGGTGGATTCTCACCAGCAAATTCACATCATTTCGTCGAAATCGAAAAGTATATTTCTACTTTTCTTGCTTTCTTTTAACAATCTTCATGGAATAATGCTCATTTATCCAACAAATAACTGGTATATTCGCTGAAATTTCTTTTCTTCCAATACTAACTCGAATATATCATACAGTAACTCTACAGAATTCTGATAGAATATTTGTAATAAAACAAGGAACAAATTCTAATTTTGTTCCTTCAATCATTCGATTCATTAATAAAATTCAACTTTGTCATTAAATGATTTTTTTTCTCATTTTCATTAGCGTCTATATATTTACTACTTACATTCTCTCTATAAAGATGATTCTCAGAAGTTTCTATCATTTTAAATATTATTCTCTTTCATAATAATCAATTTTTCGTACTTTCTTATCCCTAATAACGAAGTAAAAAGGTTTTATTTATTACTTATCAACAATAAGACATATATCATCTTTTTCTTTTTCTCTATTGATGAGTCATCACAAAAAGTGCCATTAATATTAAGACCCCTATATTTCATAAAAGATGGTGCTCTATTACAGATTCTAACTTATACAAATAGAAATAACATCTAAACATTTCATTTAACTGTTCTTCAATTTTTCATTAAAATTGAAATATCTTTCTATAGACATTTACTGTTGTTTATTTTTCTCACACTCTCTTATATATTTTTGCTAAAAATTCTGCTTTCAAGTAGCCATTTAATTATTCTGAGTATTTTCTACTCATCTTTGCATCCAATATTGTACTAATTGTTAAGAATTCTCTTCTTTGCTTTGATATTAAAAGTGACAGTAATTTTTCTGTGAAATTTTCCATTGAATTTAATATTTTATGCAGTGGTTAAACCACCTGATGAAACTAAATTCTACTTCTTCGTGAATTAGAACAGAATAATATTCTCGAATTGATTTTGAATTTTTGTTCAAAATTTTCTAAATCGAACTAGAGATACTAAGCCATCTGACGAGACTCCTAAGCAGAGTCGAAACGCGTGGTGGTAGCTTCTTGCGCATCACCAACATACCCTTATTACATTAAGATTTTTGATTGATTATTTCGAATTTATTGTGATAATATCAATGATCGCCTCTGCTATTTTCTAATTACTGTCATGTACAATCATCAAAAACGGAAGCTGCGTGAGCTACGCCAAACAACATGTTGCTGTGAATAACAAAATATTTGTGTTTTGCGTTACTGGCTTGTTATCATCGGATGACAGGGTGATTGTAAGAAAGATAGAAGAAAAGGTAACAGTCATATAATTTCAACGGATAAAATTTCTTTTGCAACGGTGCATTAATCGTATAAATTTATAATCGTTTTGCACTGATGTTTAACAGTTGTGGTACTAGGAAAGAAACCAGTAAACTTTGATCGTGTCGTGGCTTCGAGAAAAAATGCTGTTTGATACCGTTGGACATAAGTTTTAAGGAGTCATATAAATGTTAAACGATTTTTTAATTGATACAATATTTGGTGTGGACACACTTGAATGATTTGTGCGGAGTAAAAAAAGTATCTATGATTTTTTTTCTCTCATTTTCTCTCTTTATGATAAAGTATATAAAGTGTACGCGTATCACTGCTAAAAGACAGAAATTTTTATTTCACATTGGTAATCGTTTCCTGTTTATAATACAACTTTCATCGAGGATGGCTTACTCGAGCAAAATTATGATTTTAATTCTCATTGGTACAATAGGGGTTGGAATTGGAATTGCACAAATGCCAACTAATATGTCTGATCGAGTAGCATCGAAGCTTTATGTACCATTCATAAACTAATTCATGTCATAGTGCTCACACAGTAGAGTTGTACCGATATGATATCATCAGTTCGTTTTTATTTCTCTTGATTACAAAATAGACGAAAGCTTGGTGCTTTTATCGTAGCCGACGACAGCCTAAAATATATCTTGCAAATATGCCTATGCACGAACTGAAATGATCTAGATAGTTTTTTTTATATTTCTCATCGTCTATTGCTGTGTAAAAGATATGTGTGATATAGAAAAGCGAAAAGCATCATGCACCAAAAGTGACAGAATACCGAAGAGACAAAAAAAAAAGACAAAAAATCTCGAATGAATCAAACATGTCGAGCCAATACAGTTATAAAGAAACAATTAATGAATCACTGGAATAAAATTTCGGGTAGTCGAGCTTGTTTTTTTCTTCAGTTAGAATGGTCAAAAGTGTTCGATGCGTATCTCTGTCTGACATAACAATAGAAAAAATGCATCAGTAAATCAAAGTATCTCCTTTATTTTACAGGATGGCTCCGCGATATCGATTGAATCCAGTTCAACCATCTGTCCAGATGTAAGGATGAAATCTGAAATCAGTTTGATGAAGACA